ACATTTCCTCCTCCTCCATTTGGTTCCGAAAAGAATAACATCTTTCAAACAATTCAACTTAAACTTCTCATTTTACCCTTATTGTCAAGTTTTTCATCGCTACACAAGTACATAACATGTTTAACACCACAAATTTCAAAAGTCTTTCATTCATTCCAGCGAAACTATGCTACATAATAGAAAAGAAGGATTTAACTTATATCAGTGAGAAAAGTATGAAAAACTGGCATAATAAAGGTAAAAGTTAAATACCAAGAAAGAAGTGAAGATTGCAAAAAAAGCTCCAAAACCAAGAATGACAGAGTAGCCAACACCCTGATTAAGAACAGGTTTTCCTCCAAAAAAGCTGCTCTGCCTCACACAATCATTTCCAGAAACACTATAATATTTTGATGAAAATTGAAAAGGTGGACAGGAAGCCATATGTGAGTGAACTGATAGTAAATCTCCAAATTAATTACACTACATATGAACAAAACAAACTATTTATAAGCAACAAAGTTAGAATCTTTGTAGTCCTACTTGAGATTAAAAAGAAAAAAAAAAGAACAATTTATTAGAGGCAACAAAGTAAGCAAATTGTGATTGGAGATGACATTTTCTTGTGATGTTATGAAGTACAAAAAGTCTATGGAAATTTTTTTATGTCAAACTAAAAATGGAGTTTTTAATTCATTGGAAGTATAAGATAAATCTCCAAGTTGGGAGTGAAAGATTCAAAGGGTCACTTTCATTGCTTTGAGAATCTTTTTGTCTTGGAGTAGCTCCATATTTCTAAGTGGTTGGAGTGTTCCATCAATCAGAACAACAACAATAACATATTCTAACATACTCTGTGTAATCCCATTAAGTAGGACCGTGTAATCCCACCAAGTAGGGGTCGGGTGAAGATAGAATGTAAGCATACTACAGAGATAGAAAGATTGTTTCTGATAGAACCTTCAACGATGGTTCCATCATAAGTAAAAACAAAAAAAAAGAAGTACCATATATAGAGTATGGCATTTTTTCATTATCAAATTGAGGAGTAACACCTTGTTTGGAGGGTTGTTACAATATTATTAGTTTAAATACAATGTTTGTTTTGATAGTTATTTAAATTCTATTGTATCGTATAATTTAAACAATTGTTAGATAACAATGAAAAGACTCATTTTAAATAATGATCAATTTGATGTAATCACGGTCTTACCATAATATTTTCTTCTCATTTTTGTCTTTAATTTTTTACTACACTAGCTCGTCGGCCTAGTAAGTCTTTGAGTTTTTATGATAATTATATGTGTGGCCTTGCCACATTTTGATTTTTTTAAAAAGTATTTAATAATTATATTTCATTTTTTGTCTCTTCTTTTCATAGTAGCTCTACTTCATATTCGTCTTTTCGGTAGATTTATCTTTCAAATTATGGGTGTATAATATTATTTAACACTGGAGAACGATAAAATTTATCAAACCATTGTATTTATTAAAACAATACAATACAATACGATACATTATGAAATAATATGTAACAGTGTGTAAAATACAAGACATGTGTTAGAGAACTGATAATGGATTTCCTTATTAAACTACATTTGAACAAAAATAAAGCATTTATAAGAGCAATAAAGTTAGAATCTTTTTACTACTATAAAAGCAATGATTGTCAACAAATTTAGAGCCAACAAAGAAGCAAATTGGATTTGCATAGGCCATTTTCTTGTGACGTTTGAAGAGTAAAAAGTCTATGGAAATTTTTTAATCAAACTAAAAATGGAGCTTTCAATTCATTGGAAGTATTAGATGAATCTCCCAAGTTGGCAAGTGATAGATTCAAAGGGTCACTCTCATGGGCTTTGAGAATCTTTTGTCTTGGGGTATCTCAATATTTCTAATTGGTTGGATAGTTCCATCAAATCAACAATAATAACATATGTGTATAATCTTATCAAGTCAGAGTCTAGAGTGCACGCAGATCTAACTTTACTTTAAAGATAGAAAGATTGTTTCTGATAAATCTTTGGTGATAATTTGATTAAATAAACACAAAAAAGGCGTAACAAGAATACAACATTTTTTCATTTTATCAAATTCTAGACTAAAATATCCCAAAGATGAACGGTAGAAATGGTAAAGAAACAACAAGCAAAATCAAAACCTATGAATGATTCTGACATCAAAATGAATATTTTTTAATTCTAAACACAAAAACGGACACGCTAAAAAAACACATCAAAACAGACAGTTCATCCATTTATGATCGAATTACAACTACCATTTATTCACAATGTTATCTCTGTTAACTCCAAATTCATTCAAAATAATATTATACAAACTTGAAGGTAGCTCACCAACAAATTGGTGAACTACAATTCTTTTTATTAACTAATCAAGTAAATTTATATCTCTTTCTTCCTTATGTGAAGCTATATCTTTTTATTCAACAATAAATATGAATTATTGCTCCACATTTTTTCATTCATCTTCTATTATTTTATACTTTATATTTTGATTTTCTTGAAATATGATAGTCGTGTCTCAATAATCTTTAAAGTCTCAATAATCATAAATTCCTTCAAATATATTGCAAAATAAAGTACATCTAGAGCGTATTTATTATATAGAGAAAAATATTTTTCAAATTTTCATGTTGCAGCTGATCAAAATTTTTGGGAAGTTCTCTAGGTAAATAATTCTCTTAAAACAAAATGAGAAAAAAAGACTTCACAGATGAAAAGTAAATAATTTTCTTAAAACAAAATGAGAGAGAAAGACTTCAAAGATGAAAGTAGAAAAAATGAAGAGCTCCTCAATTGATATTCCACATCGATTATATTCTCTTCATCTTTCAACATATCTCATCTTCATCATTTTCAGGTATCCCCCATCCTCACTATCTCACGGCTCACACCAGTACCTCCCATATTATTTATAATAACAATAATATATTATAAAAAAAGGCAAAACACATAAGCGGCCTCTTGAACTTGTATGCTCTTTCCGTTTAGACACCTTAATGAGGCCATACTCCTATTAAACAACTTATGTATACACAAAGTGTGTCTATTTGACACTTCAATGACATTACCCAAAAATATATAGAGTGTGTGACTTTCAAACACTATAATATGAAAAAAGAGTAAATCATACCGTGACATGTGGCAAATTAAAAAATAATATTTTTTTACCAAAAAAAATTATCAGATCCAGTAGCCCCTCTGCATCTTCTTCTTTGAAGCCTCTCCTTACTGCCAACTTATTTATCCACCATTAATAATTTTATGAACTCTCTATTTGTTCTTTTTATTTTTAATATAAAAATAATTCATAATTCATCCTCCCCTTTCCTCCCAAACAATATAAAACTATTTCATAATTTAACCTCCCCTTTCCTTCCAAACAATATTCTCTAACTTGCATAGCTCAATTCTTCTTCTTCCTCTCTTTTTTATCATTAACAAATATGATTAAAACTTGAAATTACCAAGAAATCAAAAAGGTACAACTCCGTATTTAGTTATTTTTAGCAACTTTGTTTATGGGTTTTGTGTAATCATGTTTTTTTTTTAATTCAACCATATGGATTGATGTTGTTTTAATAAAACCACTTTGATTTTAACTTTAAAGAGTGAAGGAAGAAGACATTTTCAAGTGGTGAATAAGACATGTTCTACGACTGATTCAAGAAAGGTAGGACATTTGAAGAAGTTGAAATCGACAAATTGGACATTTCTTTCGCTGTGAAGAAGATGAATGAAGAATTTTTTTTGATTTTCAGCAACAATGATGAGATGTGGAAAAGAAAGAGATGAGAAAAAAAAGGGGGGAGGGGGGGGGGGGGAATCTAGGGTTGGATAAATAAAAGGGGAAGATTTGGATCGTTAAGTGTGTCAATCAAACACATTAGTTTTTTTTCACTTCACGTGCTCAAAAGGCGTGCCTCAAACGATAGGTGACAGGTCAGCCAAGTGTGTTTGATAGGTACACTTTTTGAGTGGTTTAAGTGTTCAATAGGAAGGAGCTCTTGTTAAAGTGTCTATACGGAAAATCTTGACAATTTCTAGGGGCCGTTTATGTGTTTTGCTTTATAAAAAAGCTTTGAGGAGGATAGTGGACTACACATATCTTACACTTACCTCGAAAAGTAAAGAGGTCATTTCCATTGTCCGATAGATTATTAACTCAAAAAAAATAAAATATCAAAAACATTTCGACCTAAAAAAAAGAAAAGAAGAAATAATAAAATACTAGAGACGTATGACAATCCTATGTTAAAAGGAACAATTACTTCAACAAAATATGACAATAATTAGAGTACACAAAATAATAAATAGCAACAGAATAGAATAACAAGAGTAATACTATCAACACTATTACGAAAGGATAAGTTACAGAACACCCCATTAACATTCTATGTATTTCTTGTCCTCTAATCCATATATAATTTTCTATCTACACTACTAATTAAAAAAATAATGTTTAGCGACGGATAGTAGCAACGAGCAATATTCCATCAATACATAACGATGAATTTACGACGGAATAATCATTTGTTGCAAAATGAACAAATAATTTTTAATTTATAATATAACAACCGATTTGCAACAGAATATTTAATTTGTTGCTAATATTAGCGTAAAAATTTGGCTCCTAATTTTTCCTACGAATTGAGTAACAAAATAGTAATGACAAATTTTATTAATATTGGGCGACAGAATTAGTGACGGAAAAAAAGTTGCTAAACTATTAAATATATATTTATGAAAATTATATTATATAGTAACGAAAATATCCATCAATATAACTTTTTACTAAAATATATTTTTATTTGAAAGCGACGGGTTCTAGAATCCGTTACTAATTCGTTGAAAACTCCAATTCTGATTTAAATTACTCTCATTCAGTCTCGTTTATCCATCACGATTCATCAAACTTTAAGAGTCAATCTCATCCACTTATCCAAATTTGAACGAATAGTCCTGATTTAGACCTTGCTTTCCTATTTTTATATAAAAGACCCCAAACCCTCAATTTTCTTCATTCTCCTCCTCTCCTCTCCTCTCCTCTCCTCTCCAAATCCGCCGCCCAGATCCCTTTTGCCCTCCTCTCCGAATCAGCCGCCCGGATCCTTTTTGCCCTTCTCTCCATCCTTCTTTCCGATCAGTGCAACCCTAAAAATGAGCAACAAACAATTTCGTCAAGCAGTAGCCGCAAAACCAGCAGCCGGAAAGAAATGGGGAGCTCGAACAGGCGCGTGAAGACCATCAGTGAACCTCCATCGATGGCAGCCCCAATCGGCGAGCAACCAAGCGACTAGACGGTCTCCGTCCGCAACATTTTCAGTCTGCTAAGAGTTTCCTATTTTTTACAAAAGATCCCTAACCCTCAATTTTCTTCATTCTCTTCTCCTCTCCTCTCAAAATCCGTCGCCCAGATCTCTTTTGCCCTCCTCTCTATTTTTCTTTACAGACAGTGCAACCCGAAGAACAAACAACAAACAACGTCATCCAGCAGCAGCTGCAGAACCAGCAGCTGGATAAAAATGATGAGCTTCAACAAGCGCGCTAAGACCACCAATTTCAATCGGCGAGCAACCAAGCGACCAGGCAATTTTTGTCCGCAACATTTTGCAGTCTACTGAGAGTCTCAGGTTTGAACCCCTCCCCCAACCGTCTTTCCTTCTTAATGTTTTATGGTGTTTAAAAAATTAGAACTTTGAATTGATTCTTGATGTGAAATTTCTACAAAGCAACTGCAGCATTGATGCAGAAACTATGTGGGAGCTTAAAACTTTGTCATAAATTACAACAAGAGCAAGAGTAAAGCTACATTGAGTTTCTTTCAGCTTTTTAAGTTATTTTGTGTAGATTGGAGATGAGCATTTCTTTGTTTCACTTCATTTTGTAGAGTTCGGGTTCAAAGATTGTTGATGCATTAAAAGAATTCGATCGTCTTTATTGTATATACATAATGTAATATATATTCTCTTGTGGCTCTTTGCTTTATAAATATGTAAATGCATACAAGTACTCATGTTTAAGGTGGGGGAGAGACACATAATGCAAGCATGATCATCATCTAGTGGTAATAAATTACAATGATTCATTCAATTAGGGTTCATTCATCATTTTGTTGCTAATACTCTTCATCCAAGAATGAATTATTTGATTATTTATGTTTGTAGATTCTGATAGCGACAGTTCCTCTTGATGTGAGGAAATCTTATGTAAGTGGATGAGCATTAGCTAATATTACTTTTTTAAAAAATATATAATTAGTTGTGAATATAACGATATGATAACTTGTTTATTTTTGTGAATATTTGTTAATTATCGTGAATTCAATCTATTATTTCTAATTTTAACAAATATGAAAAGCCAAGGGCTTGATCAGGCCATTTCCAGAAATATTTTCATAATACGAGTGGCTATCTTTAACATTCAATTCATTCATCAGTCTCTAAAGTATTCTTTACTTGCTTAATTTGTAGGATATACATTTCAGAACTGATGTTTTGACTCCTAGTGTCATCTAAGTAACACATTTCATGACATCTGAAATGTAATTTCTACAAATAAAGCAAGTAAAGAACACTTGAGAGACTGGTGGAAGAACTAAATGTTAAAGATAGTCACTCGTATAACGAAAATATTTCTGGAAATGGTCTAATCAAGTCCTTGTTCATATATGTTAAAATTGGAAATAACAGATTGAGTTCACTATAATTAACAAATATTCACTAAAATAAACAAGTTGTCAGATCACTATATATACAACCAATTATATATAAAGAAAGTAATATTAGTTAATGAGCATCCACTTGCGTCAAATATTCTCACATCAAGAGGAATTGTCGCTATAAGAATCTGCAAACACAAATAATCAAATAATATATTCGCCGACGGAGGGTATTAGCAACAGAGTGATTAATGAACCCTAATTGAATGAATTGTTATAATTTATTACCAGTAGAGGATGATCCTGCTTACATTCATGTACCTACTCTTTGCATATTCCAATTATATAAACCTGATTTTTCGCATAGTTTCCTCCATCGAAGCCACTTGTATTGAAATGTGTTAAATATGTTGTGATTATCATGTTGATGTATATACCATAAATTGTCATAAACCATAGTTAAAATAAAATAAACAATAATGAATAAATAAATTTTAGGTTGAGGTGTGTATATCTCACCCTCTTTAAAGATATTCAAGATCATTGTGGTATATTATACATCTATATCAATTCAATAGTATAACTCTTAACTTGTCCCTTTTAGGATACAATAACCCAACAACGTCATATAACTCAAACAAGTTGAATTAGTTGAAGAATGCAAAAGTAATATACCAAAAAAATATTTTTCCTTATTTCAGTTATCTCTTTCACACACTAACCTCAAGATAACACAATAATACTTCTCACTTTGTTCTCATTTTTTTTTACAACACAATAAAGAAATATATACATTCTTTACGGCATCTTCAACTCAATCCTCTATTTAACTCTCAAAATAGAGTTCTCTATTTTTTCGAACAATCAACTCCAACCCAATTCTCTATTTACTCTCTAAAACGAAATCTTTTTTTCTCTCCTCAATATTATATTATTATTTTTATTTCATTCTTATTTTCTTATTTCATAATATAAATTCTTTATTTCTTTTTTCTCATATAATTACTTTATATAGTTTTTAATATGATATAAGATTGTATTTTATTTTAAATTTTTAAATAACATAAATTACAAGAAAATATAATGTAATACATAAATTAGGGGACATATTCAAATAAAAGTGACATACAATTATATAAACACTCAATTTTAAAAATCACTATGTTGCTCCTGTAAATGCTCTATTAATGCATTACAGAGATTAAAATGAGCATTTTTGTACAAATATTTGTGACTACCTGCAACGAGAACAACAAGGAATACTTGAAAAAGAAATCTACAATCACAACCGCAGTCACAAACGCAATCACGACCACGATCGCAATAATTCTCAAAATCGTATGGTATTTTTTTTCCGAATAGTGCTAGATCTGGAACAGACCAACCGGATTATTATGTTATGTATTATATTTTATCTTGTATTTAAATTATTATATTAAGTAATGTATTGTATTGTTATCTTGTATTATTTATGTATTGTATTGTTATCTTGTATTTAAATTATCATATCATGTATTGTATTTTTAAATTAAATTTTTCATCTTGCCATTTTATTTTTGTGTATTCTTTATAATGAAAATTAATAAATTTTATTATTGATGAAAATTAAAAAAGAAAAATTAAAATTTATTAGTTTGAAATTAAAGTAGTATATATTTAAAAATATTTTTTAAAATATTATATTACATTAAAAGAAATATGAATATTAGAGATTTAATTAATGAAATTATATGTAAATAATATGTTAATTAGAAAGTAATAGAATAATAATAAAATGCTAAAAAAGTGAATAGAGAATAGAGCGTGATTTGAAGATATGTTAGAGTGTCTGTTGTCTATTTTACTGTCCAAATATAATGAATGAAGAGTAAAGTAAAGATGGGTTGGAGATGATCTCGTATAAATGTACGTAAGATTTCTTTTACAAATAAATGTCATGAATGTGGATCGTCATTTGTAAAACAATTAGTAAGAAATAATAAGAACATGTCATTATGATTATATGAGTTATAAAAATCATATATATGATATCGTTTTCTCCACCTTAAACGTACTCACTATGATGCACTTAATATTTTGGATAAATGATAGAAATCACATACTTTTAAGGTAAAATATCATTTGTCCTTTAAAAGTTTATAATTATAGAAATCCTACAAACTGATACATTAATTTGATGTGCGAGATACATAATCGTTAAGTAAGATATTACATTTTATACATGATACACTAATCTGATGTAAATTTTATACATGATACACTAATTTGATGCGTGAGATAGATTAATTTGATGTGCGAGATACATTCATTTGATGCGCTGATACATTAATTTCATGTGTGAAAATTAGAAATTTTAGAAATTTGTAAAACTATTAAGTGATAATGATAATAAAAATATTTAGAGATACGATTTCTATCATTTTTTCTAATATTTTTGTTTTTAATATTAAAATGCACGATATCACACCATCATCATGATAGTGAATAAGACGGATTTCTTAGATGTTATTTCCTTTTTGAGGGATGTTGATTAGTATGTTTGAATATTCACAATTGCCTTTAAAAAAACAAATTTAAAAATAATATTTGCAATTGCCTACCTAAGCAAAATCATTTTTAAAAAAATAATAATAATCAAGTTTTGCATTAACAAAGTAATTAAGTAAAATTAAGACACATTCCTGATTTAAGAGATGCTTATTAGGAGCAGGTTGGGTATGAGGTGATTGAGCTTAACCCTCAAACTTTTGATTTGCCTAGCGTAGGGGTATCAAATGGGTGATTTGGGTTATTAAAAGGGAAAATTATATATAATAGCAAACTAATAAGCTAAATTAAATGGAATAGCCAGGGTTTGATTTATTTGTGCTCCATAGCAAACATTAGCTAAAATTTGCCAGCGTCTCTCACCCAAAAATCTCGCTCGCCACTCTCCATTCTCGCTCGCCTCTCTCGCTTTATACACAGAAGTGTATAATTCTGTTTCTGTTTTGTATAAAGCAAGAGAAAATTGTATATACACATGCAAAAATGTATATCTTCGTGTTATACACTTAATTATACAATTTACAAACATTTTACTTCAAATATTGCAGAGAAAAGGCCAACGAATTATACAATTGCGAATTAACAATTTTAGTGTAATACAATTTTCTCTAGCTTTATACAACAGAAGTGTATATATTGTGTTTCTGTTTTTGTATAAAGCGAGAAAAACATATATCTTCTTGCTATACACTTATAATTATGCAATATACATACATTTTAATTCAATTCAACTATATGCAAAACAAATTATACAATTGCAGCGAAATAGGCCAGCGAATTATACAATTTAGGTCAGCGAATTACACAATTGTATATGTATAGCAAATTATACAGTTTTATGTTTGCTATGGAGCGCAATTACGCAAAGTTTGTTATAGCATACAAATATGAATTTTTTGTTTGTTATATGTGAAAGTTGCCCTTATTAAAATGGGTTGAAATAGAAGTCGGGTTGGGTCTTGACCAATTCAAGTTTACTCTGGGCTCAAATGGGCTAAAAACGGGTTGGATCTTGACTCACCTAATTTGACCGGATTAATCTAAAAAAATTCAACATATTGATATTCAACTTTTATAATCACAATTTAAAATTTAGCTCGAGAATTTTTTTATAAAAAAAAGTAACAAATGGATAGATAAATCTTAAAAGTTGTTAAATAGATAATAATTCATACCTTACATATAGGATGATATCTTAATAAAAAGTTTTAAAGCGGGTCGAAATTGGAGATTGAATTAGGCTTATTTGAGGATTCCCTTTAAATGAGTAATCCTTGAATGTGTTGAGATTAAACCTAATTTAAATTATTTTAAGTCAATCCTTAAAATTTTGGGCGAGTTGGACGGGTTACCTATGTTTGGGTTCATTTTGACATCCCTAATCCAGCGTGACAAATTTCTTTATTAATCCGTCCCACTTTGCTTCTCCCTGCATAATTTTTATAATATTTTCTTTTCTTATTTAAATTTGATACTAAAATAAATTCATTTTTTCATAAACTTATATTAATTTAATAAATAATGACTTAAAATTTTATTTTTTGAGGTCAATTAGGATACATGTAAGAAATCGTTTTTTAATGAAGTATTTTCATTTATTATCTTAAATATTTTAGTAGCTTTAAAGAAATTATCTTAATAAATAATGTTTTATCATTGTTATATTCCCTCCCATTTTAAAAAGAATGTCCCTATTTTCTTTTTAGTTTGTTTCGAAAACAATGACCCTTTTTTTTTGGCAACACTTTAACTTTAACTTTCCACATAACATGTTTAAGATTACAAGATTAAAGAGCATTTTGGTACATTACTTTAATTTAGAATGATAGATTAAAAAGTCTTTTTTTTTCTTATATTTCGTTCCAAGTCAAACTAGATTTTCCTTTTTGAAACCGAG